TTTAGAGGGTCATCCCACATGAAGGCAAAAAACCCCCCAGGCAAAAAAAAAAAAAAAAAAAAAAAAAACCTTGGAGGAAAATATGTAGACACCCTCAAATAGGAATATTAGCATCTTAGAGTAAATGAGCAACAGGCAATTATAAGTAATTAATGGAGAAGTGAGTATCTGCACATGGAGAGAGACGGTATTAGGCAGCGGTTAAGCAGTACACCTCTAATGATTAATTACACGTGCTGAAGCGCATAGCAGGCTCTCTCGTGACACCGCTAGTCAGAGCGAGTGGTTCCACTTCACTGTTCGGTTACATCAAGTTATACGACCTCCGTGTTCGCAGAAACACACACTGACACACATTTGAGTGTGCACAGAGCATGACCACACACACACATGCAACCTCTTTCTTTCTCTCATTCAAATATGGAAAGAAAAGCACCCAGTAAAGAGTACTCATAAACTTTTGAATTGTACATTAATATTTACAGATAATCTTAATATTTACAGTATTCTTAATTGACTCTAAAGAGAGGGCAGGGGACACAACTAATTGCATATTTTTATCACTTAAAAAAAAAAGACATATCTTATAAATATATTTTAGTGAATGAACATCTACAATAAATGAACACGAAATAGCTCCAGAGACGAATGAATTGATGAATAAATGAATGAATGAATAACACTTTTGTCTCAAGTAAATAATTTCATATAATAATTGCATGTACCTGTACATGCTTTTCCTTCAGAAACTTCTAAACACCAGGAAAAAATACATTTGCTTCAAAAAGATGAAGAGTTTATTTATGTCTTTTCATTAGAGCTCAGTTAAATCAATGACTGTCAAAATGAAGTACTGTAGCACTGCGCACCAAAGAAAACAACTTTAGCACTACTCCTTTTCTAAGACATTTAAGTTAAATTTGTTTTACTTGTCAGTGAAAACTAGTCCTGTCCAAACAGGGATTTTGAAAAACTTATTTTGTTTACGTATAAAATACATTCATAATCAAGAAATTTTACAACCGAACCAATATTTGTGAAAGAATAGCACAATCAACCTAATCACCACTAAAACCGCTTGATTCTGAATCACCGTTCAATCCGGTTCCTGTAGCTCTATTAACCTGTTCTCCTCCTGCACCCTCATAAAGATCAAAAAAGCCTTGAGGTATTTAGCGCTCATCAATATGAACCATGACAAAAGCCATCAGCTCCCATCAGCACACACATAAATCAACAAGCGGATCTAATTGGCTGATGGGAAGGGCCAGAAAGTGAATGCAAATCACTGCTACGCAATTATGAGGCAATTATGTCAAAGCTGAGCCCAATTCAGGAGCTATTGTCTTCCTTTATGAAGCCCATACTCTCCCCAGCGCCAAGCCGGAATCAATGATAACTACATTGGAAGGTTTAATGGGAGGACCTGAAATGGCAAGACTTGAATCTGCGGGTCTCCATTACTGTATTATCAACCCTATTCATCTAATTGGGACTATGGGATCAGTCAGAGTGAGGACTTTTTCTTTCTGGCTTTTTCTTTCTCCCTTTTAATTCCACCATCTCGTCACACTGAACAAGAGGCGGAACACTGAAATGAATAATGTCTCATAAAATGCCTGACTTGAGCGGTTAATTTGATATCAGGCTCGGTGTCTAACTCTGCATTAACTAAGGCTGAAAACATTAACTGGCACGCTGAAATCAACCACAGTATGAACAGGCAGGTAGAAGATGCGAGGAACAGACACTGCCACTTGCACTATATAAATATCAAAATGATACAAAAAAGTATTTTTATATTTATTAAAAATAAATAATAAATACAGATTCATTTTTGTTGTTACATGATTTTTTAATTAAAAAAAATTCAAATATTTAAAAAGTATATGTGTGTGTATATATATATATATATATATATATATATAAAGATTTCTCAGTAAGGGATGTGTGATTTTTTTTTTTTAAAGAAGTTACTTATGTTCACCAAGGCTGCATTTATTTGATCAAAAACACAGAGAAAAACAAAACAACAACCTGTAAATCCAAGTTCACACTACTGGATTTTAAGCCCGATTTAAGCCTGATTTGCAAGTCAACGAGCTCGCCGACAAGTCGGGCTGTGATCAGGGGGAAAATCATCGGGTGATCAGTGCTCCGTAATCTCTATGTGTAAATTACTCAACGACACATTAAAGAGAATCGCTGACGCGTTGCCGCTGACCACCTCACCGATGCCAAACAAATATCTAGCATGCCAAATATCTGGACCGGTCGGCCAACTCGAGACTGAGGTCAGCGGAAGATAAACAGCGGCAGCAACATGGCTTTTGTGTTTTCGTGACAAAACGTGGTTTGGTGACTGGATAGAGTCGTTGGGTGACAGAGTTGTCAGCTCGTGTAGTGTGTGACCCCCTGTTGTGGATCATTGACGTAGTGTCACGTAGTGTGAACACCACAACGTCTTCAAGACAGACAGCAAGTCATGTAGTCTGAACAACACCGCGATCTGCCAACATTTAACGTCATGTAGTGTGAACTTGGTTTAAGCAAAACTGAATTTTCAGCAGCCATTACTCCAGTCTTCAGTGCCAATATCTTTCAGAAATCATTATAATATGCCGATTTTTTTTAAATCAATATTGGAAACAGTTCTGCTGCTTATTTTTATTGCTTTTATTTTTAAATAATACTAATATTTAATCATTTTAACCTTTCTCATTCTGTTGCTCTCTGATATAGCAGAAGAATGTGTTGCTTGGAAGATCAAGGCATTTTAGTGGGCATCTCTGCCTTCTGACAACAGCTGAAGCTCGGTGGGTGCCAATCACAGAGCCCCACTCTAGATCTGAAGGCAGTGGTGTACCATCCAAAACCGTGGGCTCCTCCACAGGGAGCCTTCCACTTCGACATCGCCCCAGCTGCTTAAAATCAAGCGCTAGATAAAAAGGTGGGCCGTTCAGCTTTTGTGGAGGACAGGTTTTACATAACTCGAAGTGTGTCACGCCATTAAAAGGGCATATTTATATCCTGATAATGACAGTTCAGGCCAAAATGCACAGAAATCAGACCATTTTCCCTTCAATCTCAATATGTTTCTCTTGTTCCCTCTCAAACGATCTCAGACGAACTCACTAAACAGTGTCACTTTAGTGTTATTTCAGTTGAAAAAACGACATCTCAAGTAATCTCATAAGTACATACAATCCAGTTTAACCAGGCCCTTAATATGTTAAAATAGGGCTTTTAAAAAGTTACAATAATTTAATCCAACATTTTCTTCTCTATTTAATGTACAGCTAGAAATATTTATTTATTTATTGTGCATGTGCATGTCTTTTCACAAAATAAAACGTTTATCCATCATTTTGGATTCCAAAATCTCCTAATTTGGATGGAAACCACATTATTGAATTTATTTCAGCACAAAAACGTTCTTTCAATGTAATTGTGTTTATTTTCCAGTTCCATTGTTTTTTTGTTTTTGTTTTTTTGAATAAATGGAATTTGTGTAGTGTATGGGCCAAACAAAAAAAAAGAAGTATGTAGGAATGTAATTGTATTTAAGGTTATTCATAGCAAACTTTTGGCTTTTTAAAGTGCATATTGAGGTGTGTAAATCGCAGTGGTGGAGCAATCCAATCATAATATACCAGATCCCTGACAACCTAGCAGAGAACAGCAAATCACATTCAGTGCTAATTTTGCAGGAACAATTGCATTTTTAACAGTTTTATAATTGGTTTAGGTGCTAAAACAATACAAAGAGCGTGTGCAAATAAACAACACCATCAGCAGGCACAATTCATATTTATATGAATATTCTGTTCTCGAGTTATACAGCACTGTACAAAGGAAATACAAAATGAAAGTAAGGACTACAGTGCGCTAACACAAGGCCGGTGTCACACGTGGCACATCCTCTATTATATACATCCAGGGAAATCAATATGACTTCAGGATCTCATTCACACTGGGGAAGCCAGCGCACTGTGTGATGGGCTTTATAATAAGAAAGAACGGGGGAAAGATTGAGACAGGATGAAATAATGATGGAGCAGGTGTGTGTGACGAGTGATCGGACTAGATACCGGGATGAGAGCGAGAGAGAGGAAGGGCGAGAGGTCCACAGGGAAAAGAGACAATGAAGCTACTGGACAAGGGATCTCAGCGCTATCTTTAGACTTCGGCTAAGTTTAAAGTGTACAAATAATGAGGCTAATCTTTTGTCCAAAATCTACCAAATTACTTTTTTTGTTCAGGTATGGATGGAGATTTATTCTATCAAGGACACG